GGTTGTGGATTCCAGAAACTGGGCAAAGCAGTCTCTCCAGGGGCCAAATATCTCAAATTAAATAAACCAAACTCAAACATAGTGCAGAAATTGGGTCCCCACATGTAAAAGAATAAGGTTGACAAGCTGGACATGGTAGAGCACTTGGAAGGTAGACGAAGAAGGATCAGGAGTTCAAGGTCATTCTAGAACACAGGAAGTTCTCTAGTCAGGTTCAGAGAGCCGTGGAGGACATGTGAACTCCTCACAGTTTCAGCCCATGATGTGCTCAGAGTGACCGGTCCCAATAAAGATGACCTCAAGTCTGCATTCAGTTCCTGTAAGACCCATGAATTTGACAGGGTGGGGCAGTAGGGGGGCATTATTCCCCCCTCGGGGTTCTTTCCACTCTTCTTAATAAATGTGTGCTCACTTTATTCTCTCCTGCTCTGCATTTCTTTTTTCTTTCTTTTGTTTTTTTGGGACAGGGTTTCTCTGTGTACCTTTTAGAGCCTACCTATGCTGGAACTCACTCTGTAGACAGGCTGGCCTCGAACTCACAAAGATCTGCCTGCCTCTACCTCCCAGCTGCTGGAATTAAAGGTATGTGCCACCAGCCACCACCACCCGGCCCGGTCTGCATTTCTTATTCTTCTGAGACAATGAGCCCAGAAGCCACTGGCTCAGGCCAGCTTTGAAGACCATGATTATCCAGCACTCTAGGTCCCTGGGCTAAGTTTACTAAGAGACAAGAAAAGTTCCATTGCTCTCAAAGAACCCACATCAAAAGGACACTATCAACAGAGTGGGAAGGCTGTCCACTGGGAGGAAAACATCTGTAAATCATCTAGCCGCTGGTAAGAATACATACAGCCCAACATCAGAAAACAGGCAACTTCACCTGAGGACTTGAACAGACACTTCAAAGAAATGATCAATGCAACCATGGAAAGACTAGCATCACTGGGCATTGGGGAAAATAAAACAAAAAACCACCAACAGCAAGAAGGCCAGGCACAGTGGTGCATGCCTACAATCCCAGAACTCACAGGCAGAGGCAGGAGGATGTAAAGTTCAACACCAGCCTAAGCTACACAGCAATACTCTGCCTCGAAACCCAACCCAAGCCTGGCAGAGATGGTGCCCACCTTTAATCCCAGCAATCAGGAGGCAGAGGCAGGGGGAGCTCTATGAGTTTGAGGCCAGCCTGGGCTACATAGTGACTTCCAGGCCAGCCCAGGCTAGAGAGAGTTTGTGAGGCTGTTGAGACATGGAAGGCCCTGTGCTCTACTGTTGGGAGTAGAAAGCAGCGCAGCCTCTGTGGAAAGCAGCGTGGTGCTTCTCAAACATCTCCAGTATAATCTGGTCATACTTACTCTCCCTTCGTCACTCTTCCTGCCTCACCCTCTCCCACTAATCCTCTCCCTCTTAACTAGCCCCTTTCCACATTCATACCCTGTGCGTGCGTGTATGTGTGTGTGTGTGTGTGTGTGTGTGACCCAATGAGGTCGTTAGGGCCATTTACAGAAGTATGAGCACCTCACCAGGGTACACCACTGAAGGAAAGGTCTCTCTCTCCATTCTCCATCAACCAATTTCACTTCAAACATGTCCTTACAGAGAGGTGAGACCTCATCAGCTCCTCTTCCTCTTTGTCTTTTGAGACAGGGTCTCTCTCATGCTCTCAGGCTGGCCTCCAGTGCACTGTGTAGGCAGGCATAACCTTGAACTCCTCATTTTCCTGCTTCTATCTTCTGAGTTTACAGGTGGGTTCTTTGGTGATGATGATGATGATGATGATGATGATGATGATGATGATATGTGTGTGTGTGTTGGTGTTTTGCCTGCATGTATGGCTGTGTGAGGGTGTCAGGTCTCAGAGTTACAGACAGTTGTGAGCTGCCATGTGGGTGCTGGGAATTGATCCCAGGTCCTCTGGAAGAGCAATCAGTATACTCAACCAATGAGCCATCTCTCTAGTCCCTATAAGTGGATTCTTATATGGTTCGGGGGAATCAAACCTAGGGTTTCCTGTATACTAGCTGGCCTAGACACACACACACACACACACACACACACACACACACACACACACACACGTTTGTTTGTTTGTTTGTTCTGAGACAGGGTTTCTCTGTGTAACAGCCAAGGCTGTCCTGGAACTCACAAAGATCCACCTGCCTCTGTCTCCTGAATGCTGGCATTAAAGGCATGCGCCACTACCACCCAGCCTCAGGTGAGTGTTTTATTGATTGATTTTTCTTTTGAAATATTCCCCTATATCCCAGGCTGCCTTCAAACTGGCTGTAGAGCTGAGGATGACTTTGAACTTTGTGTGATGGTAGGTTTCAATGTCAACTTGGGAAGGGAGCTTCACTTGAGGGGTTGTCCTGTTGCCGTAAGCGATGTGGGAAGACCCATTCCGTAAATCAGTGCTACTTTCTGGTAGCATGCTAGATATAAAGGGCGCGGCAGCTGTCTTCTTGTCTTGGCCTCCAGCTCTCTCAGCCTCTCCTCTTGCCAAGTTAACTTTCCCTGTTGAAGCTGCTGAGTCCCCCACAGACACCAGAATCAGCATCCCCATGTGTCCATCATGGCTAAGGACCAGCTGCTCTGCAGGAACCCTCCAGGGTTTGGAACTAAATTGGAACTGCTGAGGCTCCCAGCCTCAGAGACTGAGCAGCTACTGGATTCTGTACCTCTTTAGTGCGAGACAGCAACTGTGGACCCCCCCTCCCCACTGCTAATGCACCCCACTTCTAGGACAGAGCACCTTCCAGAGCCTCTCAGGTGATACTATTTCAATGTCAACTGATTTAAACAATTGCGCATATATTTTTCTCCTATCAGTTCTGCTCTGCTAGAGAACACTTACTAATGCACTCCAGATCCCCCTGCCTCCAGCTCTCAAGTGCTGGAATTACAGACATATACTTCCATATCCCACCTTACTCACCCTTGTCAAGAATTTTTTTAAATATGGTTGCTGAGCCTAGGACAGTGTTGGTTTTTTTTTTCGTTTGGCACAACCCTAGACACGTCTGGGAAAAGGGAGCCTTAATTCAGAAAATGCCTCTGTAAGATTGGCTTGTAGGACAGTTTGTGCCTTGATTAATGAATGATTGATGTGAGAGAGCCCAGCTCACTGTGAGTGATACCACCCCTGGGCAGTTGCCTGAACGCTAGAAGAAGCAGGCTGAGCAAACCATGAGGAACAAGCCACTAAGTAAGCCCCCTTCCTCCATGGCTTCTGCTTCAGTTCCCGCCTCCAGGTCCCTGCCTTGAGTTCCTGCTCTGACTTCTCTCAGTGATGGAATGTGGCCTGTGAGCTATGAGATGAAATAAATCCTCTCCTCCCCAAGTTGCTTAGATCACAGTGTTCTATTACAGCAACAGGAACCTAACCAAGATAGACAGGTC